CTAAAAAAAAAAAAAAAAAAAAAAAGCAAATACCCTGAGTAGCCTCAATTCTCTATCAATGAACACCTAACCCGTAATTAACACCCCAGCAGAAAAGGGGGAAGAAAGGCAGATTAGTAAGTTTCCCTCAAGAGGAAGAGCCTGTTTCATCCTTGCTTTATTAAGCTTTCACATACATGATTTTCCATGTCCCAGAAAGCCAGAGAAGAGAGTAGAGCCACACTTTACACAGCAGGAAACTAAGGCTCAGAGAGGTTCAAGAACTTACCCCAGGCCACAGGGATCGCTGAGTGGCCACCAACTAGAGCCTAGTTCTCCTGACTCCCCCTGCTGCCAGGCTGCATGAACATGATGATTCCACGGTTCGTTGATCCAGAGCACCGTCACTAGTAACAACTTCTCCCATTCAGCCTTCTCATAGTCCCTGACAAATTCAACCCCAACCACCCCTGACCTCTCCCCTCACTGAAAGAAGGTATAAAGATACAAAATAGTTTTGAACAGCTGATCTGATGCTTTGAAGAATCTGTCAGTTAGAAGGGGCTACAAGACGATAGGGCCCAAGAGAAAATTCCATTGGACAAGACTACCGTAAAGAATCTGAAAATTATCCAATCTTGTTAACAAAAATTCACTTATATCAGTTGACTACATCTGACTGGAAAGGCTGAAAGTTCCCCTCATTTTTCCTCAGGCATCGGGAAACCTAGCCAACCCTATCTGCCACCGATGTCTTAGTTTTTCACTTTCCATATGGCCAATTACTTTTGTGTCACATAGTTCTTACATACCTGCGTGCGTGTCATTAGCAAGACGGTAAATGGGAAAACTCCCTGAGAAACTGGAAGCGTTGTATACATGCAGGCAGGAACACAGGAAGAAATGCTAACGCCATGATTTGTTGAGAGCCCAGGAGATAAAGATACCTAGTATTTCCCAACAGAGTATCTCATTGCATTTCATTATCAAATAATGAGCCAACATTTTCAAATGTTCAAATGCTCGATTTTTTTCAACAGTCATTTTCCCAGGTAAAATTTAGACGCAACCCAAGACAAAATTCCCACTTCGAAGTGAGGTTAGAATTCAGTTTATTCTTGGCTCCGGTTCAAAGTGCTCACTTTGCCTCATCAATGCAATACCTTCCAGAAAACTTACCTTATCCTGTTTGTTGTCAAAATGACTAAAATACCGTAAGGTGCAATTCGGGCTGGCTCCCTCAGGAGGGTCCCATGTCCAGATGACCGTGCAGAGGTTTTCAACAGAAACGCTCAAATTTGTCACAGGCGGCTGAGTTTCTGTTCCAATGAAGCACAAGGAGCACATTTATCAGCACTGGCCAGGGTTTTTAGTGGGTCATTTGATCCATTCCTCCAAGTCCTAGAGGCCAAGAATAGGATGACTGAGAGAACAACAGCTCCCGGGTATCGAGCCAGGCACCGTTCTAAGTCCTCTCCACATACTAATGCACCGAATCCTCACGACCACCTTACGAGACAGGGACGAGGAGCCTCATCTTGAAGATGAAGTGACCGAGGTCAAGCACACTGAGTCACTTGCCCCATGTCCCCTAGCTCGTCAATGGCAGAGCCGGGATACAACCCAGGAAGTGTGGCTCCGGGGCCACGTTCTTAACTACTTGCTTTAGTGTGGACACAGGGAAGAGTGCGGCCTGAAATTTCTGTTTTCCTCCCGCAGGAATTCGGGGCTCCCTCTGCTCGGGATCTACAGCTCACTCAGTGCAGACACGTCAATCTCGGCAGCTCCGCGGGTGGGTCTCAGCAGCGTGTCTTTAATCGTGCTTGCTAACGTGACCCGGGAACTGTTTTTATAACTTTTCCAAAGAAGTACTGAGAAAGATTTAACAGTGCCTGTCATTCCTCTGAGGTCTGACACTAAACAGCTGGGACTGTAGCTCTGACTAATCTGAAGAGGGAAGAAGAGAGGGAAACTGAAGCAGTATCTTAAAAATGTGTTTCATTTGGAGAAAACCCACCACTGCCTCCACCAAATACTTAGTGACTCTATCGTTTTGGACCCAGCTCTATCACCAGGGAAAAGAGTTTTAAAGCTTCTGCCAAAAACAGGGAAAGACATAGAGTGGGGGAAAGGAAACACCATTTCAAACTTTGCCGAGAGCTTCTGAGACCAGGACTACCAAAATCACCCCCCCGGGAACCGGATGACAGAACCTCTCTTCTACCTTCGCCACTTTTCTATAAATTGAAAATTATTCCAAAATAAAGTTCATTAAACTCATTAAAGAAAAAACAATCCCGGGGTGTGTGGATGGCTCAGTCAGTTAAGCGTCTAGCTTCAGCTCAGGTCATGATCTCCCGGTTCGTGGGTTCGAGCCCCACATCGGGCTCCGCTCCGCACTGGTGGTGAAGAGTCTGAGTGGGATTCTCTCTCTCTCTCTCTCTGCCCCTTCCCCACTTGCACTCGCGTGCGTTCTCTCTCTCACACACACAAAATAAAATAAACCTTTAAAAAATAATAAAACAAATAAATAAATAAATCCTCCCAAATTGCCCCAAGTTGCAAACTCAGTCCTTATTGATTGCTTACGGGATACCGTTGTCTTTAATTTACCAATCCACAGAGCTCTATTTTATACTCTATGCCAACACACTGGAGTGCACTGGGCCTCTTACATAATCCGTAAATACTTTATGCCATTACCTTCCTCTTCAACTGAACAAAAGATTCCTTTGGTCCCCAAACATCAGCCCCACAGGCACTACGTAGCTGGCATTTCCCCAAAGGCTCTGGACTCTGGATATTCATTCCCTTTCCCGACTCTTCTACCATCAGTGTTTCCCGCAAGGGTGACCAAAAGGCCCAAGTGTGGGGACGCGCAGCCTGCGGCAGGACCAGCGGAGGCAGAAAATTCCCACTGCACTGAGTTAAAACCCAGCTAGCGTCCGGAAGCATCGACGGCTCAGGCAACAGTGCTGGCGTCAGGATTCTAAGCAACTACGGGCGTATACAGCGGTTTCATTTTGGCCTTTCTAACGCCACATCAGCACCCGTGAAGACAAATCATTTGTCAGCTCTAGAGCCTCTAATAAGAACTTCGTTCCTCCCGAAGACTACGATCTACTCTAGGCTTATCTGCCATATTCCGCACTTTCCAGAAACACCCGGCAGCAAACTTCCTGAAGCCCTACCTTCCTACTCCCACGCAAACATTAAAGCCCCGATAATAAAAAATATTACTTATTTATGGTAATGTAATAAATCACACCTCAATTTTCAAGGCAATTTAAGACCTTTTAGAATCTATTTTTGGGGGTGCCAGGGTGGCTCAGTTGGTTAAGCGCCCGACTCTTGGTTTGGGCTCAGGTCATGATCTTGTGGTTTCGTGGGTTCGAGCCCCACATCAGGCTCTGCACTGGCAGCACGGACCCTGCTGGGGATTCTCTGTCTCCCTCTCTCTCTGCCTCTACCCCACTCGTGCTGTCTCTCTCGAAATAAATCAATAAACTTTTAAAAGAAATCTGTTTTTTAACCTCAGTATTTTAATAGAACAATAGCCTGCACTATTTCCAATCTCTCAGACGGGTTTATTTTTCCCCCCATCTGTTAAGTGTCCTTTAGTCAAATCTTCTAATTGGTTTGCATTTTAGGCTACTTGTGGCTATCTGCCATCCCTTTTTTTTCTCCCTAATGGTTCCTTCCATTTCTCTTGAGGTTTTTCCACTTCCTATACTTTAAAAATACACACACACACACACACACACACACACACACACACACACACACGCTCTCAGTCATCCTGAAACTTAAAATACAATATCCGAACATTTAAATATATATGGATACATGTGTATGTAGGTATAACACATGGAGATATGTACGTAAATAACTGGTGACTGTACTTCTCGTACAGATCTCTAATAGCGCCTCATATGTAAGACATGATATAATTTCAGTACAGCGTAGGATTATGAGCATGGACTCTGGAGCCAGACTGCCTGAGTTCCCATCCCAGCTCGGCTACAGACTGGCTGGCAAGTTCCTTAACCTCTCTGTGCTCCAGGTTTCTCACCTATAGCATGAGGATGATCAAGAATGACCTATCACAAAAGGGCGATTTTGAGGATGAAATGAGTTAATACAGATAAAATGCTCAGAACGGAGCCTGGCACAGGGCAAGTGCTATATAAACGTTAGCAATCTACTTGCTCTCTTTTTGAAGAAACAAAACAGTTCTAAACAGGTGCTTTGGGGGGGCGCCTGGGTGGCTCAGTTGGTTAAGTGTCCGACTCTTGATTTCAGCTCAGGTCATGATCCCGGGGTCGTGGGATCGAGCCCCGCGGGCTCCGCAATGGGGGTGGAGCCTGCTTAAGATTCATTCTCCTTCCCTGTGGCCCTCTCCCCCCACTCATGCTCTCTCTCTCTCTCTAAAATAAATAAAATAATAAAATAAAATAAAATAGCTGCTTTGGGGGGCGCCTGGATGGCTCACCCGGTTAAGCATCTCACTTCGGCTCAGGTCATGATCTCGTGGTTCATGAGTTGGAGCCCCGCGTCAGGCTCTGTGCTGACAGCTCAGAGCCTGGAGCCTGCTTCAGATGCCGTGTCTCCCTCTCTCTCTCTCTGCCCCTCCCCTGCTCACACTCTGTCTCTCTCTTTCAAAAATGATTAAACTTAAAAAAAAAAATAGTTGCTTTGGCTGTCTGTGAAAGGGATACGTGCCCACCGCCTGTAAGACAGAACGGGCATTTAATTCCAACCGTTCCTCAGAGGTTGATCACTGGCTTCAGAAAGGGGAATGGGAAGGAGGGACTCAAGTAGCTACCCCCAACTAAACTTCAACCCTCAAGAGAGTCTGTACGGTCACCTCGCACAAGATTCCATTCTACTTAGAAACTGAGACGGTCAATGCTCTAATAGGGCATGTTGCTTAGATAATAGTTTTTGCTCTCTCCTATTCAATCACAGGAGATGGCAGAGGCCTGCATATTTCGGGAAAAGTTAAGGAAATCACAACAGTCATATATGAGTCACCGCCTGCTTCCCTTACATCTACTCAGTCATCAACGTCTGTCCATTTTCTCTTGCAACATCTCTTTTAATCATCCCAATCATACCAATGTGCTCTTCTGGGCCTGCGAGACAGGCTGACACCAGTAAGTCATGGCCCTGGACAGGAGGCATTCACCACGCATCTTTCTTTCTTTCTTTTTGTTTAAATCTTATTTCTTTATTTTGAGAGAGAGAGACAGAGACAGACAGAGAGAGAGCGCATGAGCAGGGGAGGAGCAGAGAGAAGGAGAGAGCAAATCCCGAGCAGGCTTCGTGCTGTCAGCACAGAGCCCGACACGGGGCTCGAACTTGCAAACCGTGAGATCACGACCTGAGCCGAAATCAAGAGTCAGACGCTTAACCGACTGAACCACACGGGCGCCCCCACAACACATCTTTCTGGTGGACAACTTCAACCCTAGAGTCCTGCACAGCTTTACGCTCCAGTGAGTCCTGTCACCCGGTCAAGTCTCCCTGCTTGCTTCTCCTCTGGTGTCATTTCCCTCACGCTGTGCCCCACTCCAGGCCTTCATGGGCAAATGAAACTCTTCTGCCTGGACTGACTTTGCCAACACACCCTCCTGCCAAGCCGGGCTGCTTGCTGCCCACAAGGGAGCACCGTCTCACCCTCATTTCTGGGTCTCTACTCTGGCTATTCTGCCCTGACTGGGAAGAACTTCTCCACCTACTCAAATTCCACCCATCCTGAAGGTCTAGCTCAAGTTTTACCTCTTCCCCACAACTACCAGTCCTCACAGCTTCCCCTCTTCTGAACGCCGACAGTGCTTATTATTTGGACCACACGGTCTGGCAATTAGAAAGCGAGTCTCCAATATACGATCAATCACTTCAAAACAAATGACCTGTCCATCTGTTCATGGGTCCCAACCAATCCTACTTGCTACTCTGGGAGGTGGCCAGCTCCTCTCCCAGCCAAGGACTCCCCCTCCCTTCTACAGAGGGAGGCACTGAATACAGGGGTCAGGGCATGACCTCTGGAGTCAGGCTGCCCAGATTGGACGCCTAGCTCCACTCTACCACCCACAAGGCTTGGAGCAAGACTCTTAGCCTCACTGTGCCCAGCGACCTTATATCCAAAATGGGACTAACGGCAGCACCTATAGGATAGGTTTTGTGTAAAGATTAAATGAAACAACACAAATGGAAGACTCGGAACGCTGCCTGGCATAAAGAATATTAAACACTATATAAATGCTAGTTGTTGTTATTAAGACATGCCACCATGTGGACTATCAGACTAAGCAGACTAAATTAAGCTTGTAACCTAATCATTTTATGAACACAGAAGATTAGAGCTGGAAGAGCCCTTAGAACTTACAGGCGAGGCACCTGGGTGGCTCAGTTGGTTGAGCGTCCAACTCTTTAAAAAAAATTTTTTTTAATGTTTATTTATTCTTGAGAGAGACAGAGACAGAGTGTGAGCAGGGGTGGGACAGAGAGAGAGGGAGACACAGAATCCAATGCAGGCTCCAGGCTCTGAGCTGCCAGCACAGAACCCGACGCGGGGCTCGAACCCACGAACCATGAGATCATGGCCTGAGCCGAAGTCAGATGCTTAACTGACTGAGCCACCCAGGCACCCTGAGCATCTGACTCTTGATACTGGCCAGGCTGCGATCTCATGGTTCGTGCGATTGAGCCCTGTGTCGAGCTCTGGGTTAACAGCACAGAGCCTGCTTGGGATTCTCTTTCTTTCTCTCTCTCTCTCTCTCTCTCTCTCCC